CCCAGACACCCCAAGTGATTCTACCCCCTCATAACGACCAGTCATGTCTGTTGAAATAATGTAAAGCAGGTCAAACTAATCAAAAGCAAGATGTCAATACCAGCCACTGAGCCAATTTTATTGGAATCTGCCAATCAATGCATGATACTAGACAACTCTGAATGTTCTAGTTTGATGTCTACCATTCTTAGCTCTGACCACGTGACCAACGAAGAGCTGAATTTGTACAGACAGTGGGCCTTTATTTGTGAAAGCGTAGTTAGACATGTCCATAACATGGATACCTTTGTGACCGGAAGTACCATTGACTGTTCCTCTTCACAAGGAAGTGATGAAGATCAAATGATACAAATGAAAGACACAGAAGCAGTGCTCACAGAAGACTGCGATGACAGCATGGTAGGAAATGTGCTTATCATGAAAACTACTGATTCTCCACCTGGATTCACTTTACTGAGTCCATACACGCTTTCGCAAGATCTGAATAGGCACGAAACTCTATCCTGCTTGGAATCCTGCATCAATTTGAAAGATGTCATTTATTTGTCAAGTGAGGTTTACCTCAATTATGTCATAAATCTGATAACTGGAATGGATCAGTATTCCCCACCTTCCTTCCATGCTGGAGAGTCCCTGCGTCATGGTCCATGTGTTATGCTGAATTACTCCAACTTTGATAAAGACTCTGATATGGGTATTGGCTTAAGATGTTCCTCGTGGCCCAAGGAATCACTGGAATGGATATCCAGAAAACGGGACTCCAACTGGCCAGACGAACTACTGGTCAACAAAATCAAAACAATGCCCTGTCATGTTTTACCGGTTGGTTACCCCCCGTCTGACAAGTGCCATTTAGAATGGCGGTTTGCCTTCATCTTGCCAGAACGAGAGCTCATCTGGAACTTCAGTGATGTGCAGATTCATTGTTATGTGATCTTAAAAACATTGAAAAAAGAGATCCTAGATCAAATTGCTCCCGATGAAATTAATTCTTTTCATTTGAAAACGATTGTTTTCTGGCTGTCTGAAGAAATCATCGATTGGGATCCCTCGAACTTAAGCAACTGTGTGAAGAGATGCTTATCTTTCTTAAACAAATGCATTCAACAGAGACAATTGTCACACTACTTTATGAGATCACGAAATCTCTTCGCATTGAAATTAGAAGATGAAAAGGTGAGGCTTCAACTTGCCTCTGAAATTGAACGCATACAGGAAAATGTCCTTGAAAGCTTTTTGAATTGTGAATGGCACTTCAAAAATGGAGGTCATCTATTATCATTGCGCCTCCTAACACGGGAATCACAGATGGGTTTCCTGGAAGCTGGCAGAAGTATTTTAAAAACTGGAAGAATAATGTTCCGACGGAACAAGTATACCCACGCCCGATGCCTTAGTATGGAGGTGGCAGTGGCAATCATGTTTCTGCAGGCGAGTGTGGAAAGTTTAATTCAGATTGCAGAAGAAGTCGATGAAGAACTAAGAGAGACATTAATGGGAATCTATGCATTGAAGTTTATTTCCATTCGCATAGGAATGCTCTGTCTTGTGGAAGCTAAACACACAGCAGACAAAGAAAAAAGACAAAAACACATTTCTAACGCAAAATGGTATTTAGAGACGGGATTGGAACATGACGTTTTGGCTGCAACTATGTATTTACTTACCTACCATTATCAAGCAAGAAATTACGATGTTATGCAAACATTTCTCAACGAATTTTTCAGCAGACGACTAGCAGTTCCATACAAAGGGACTCCTGGATTATTTACCTGTGGGAAGCGTTCATTTCTGTCACCTGATATGGACGAATCTGTAACGGAGAAAGACATGGCAAACGAAAATGACATTGCATTCGATGTTATTTTCAGTTGTTCTGATATTTCGTGTGTACCTCCTGCTTTACAGTACGAATGTGCTCTTTTGGATGGGAGATCCAATTGGTACTTTTGTTCCGTTAATCCACTTGTATATGCTTGTTACGTCAAATTCCAGGTTGCAGTCTGTTTGAGAGACACGAAACAGCTACCACCAGCTGTTGAACATTTAAAGTTGATAGTACAGTACGTTGAAAAAGGAGAAGGGTGTTCGAATGGGAAAGCAATAGAACTTCATAGACATTACAATATTTTGGGATATTGTTACTACGTCATAAATGACGTCAGAAATGCCATAGAATGGTTTGTTAAGTCTCTGGAGGCCTGCCCTACCAGTGGAAATGCAGCAGCTTATCACTTATGTATTATTATAAGTAATAGCATGACGTTAGGGTGATTAGTGAGTAAATGTCCCCAAAAGCTAAGGGAGGTGTTGTTGAAGTCCCGACTCTTGAGGGAACATTTAATGATTCACTCTAATCACACGAAAGGCCATGCTATTAGTTTGTAATTTTTTTGAGTACCAAGGAAGGGTAAATATAGTTGACTTGGGTTAAACTAGAGCAGAGTGAATTGTTACGTGTATACAATGAGCGATTTCAACTCGGAAATGCTGATATCTTATTACGTCACAAAATCGTAAGAAAGAATGACGATGGGATGAACGCATGCGTGACGACTACAATACTCAATGGGTCCCACATGTGCTAGGGTTTTTAAGAAATTCTATTAGAGAGTCATTGCACACTGTATTAGATTTATACTGGGTCAGTGTGACCAAGACAKGATCCTGTTGATTGTTATGTATTATATTAGAGAGTCATTGCGCACAGTATAAGATTTATACTGGGTCAGTGTGGCCCAGACATGATCCTGTTGATTGCTATGTGAAGAACTGTGCCTCACGAATGGTGAGGAGGTACATTTAGACTAATCTTCCTTCATGATTATATCCAAGAGGGATGATTTGTCTAATTGTGCCTGATAGTTGTATCAACCTCTTATAATCAAGCTGATAGAGTTACTTTTATAAAATAATTGTTATAAAACTTGCGTTCTGATTGGTTGGTAGCGCGTGCTTTATGAGAGCACACAGCACGCGCGCGCGCACTTTCATTTGCATCATTCCTATCAAAAAAAAAGGTTATTGAATTTTTTATTTTATAAAAGAAATAAAAAACTTGCTTGGTTAGCTGTGTGGAGTTATAAAGCACTTGGAGATTGGCAGAACACTCGAGAAGCACTCCACTATGCGTCGTGCTTCTCCTTATACTACTCTCGTGTTCTGTCATCCCCGCGTGCTTTATGACTGCATATACACTGCGTGTTTTCTATTTCTAAAAAGAGGAACTAAACGAGGAAACATGTTTAGCGCGCGCATATTTCCGATATGCGATATTTCCCTGTTTAGCCACATGCGAAACATTGCTGCGTGCAACCAATTTTGGTTCCAATACGCAAAACATGTTTTTGCTGTGAGGCAGAAACATTTCATATTTCCAAGACGCATGGAAGCCAGTGGAAGCCAGCCCCAGTTTAGCCAGGGCCTAAAGGTTCTATCGGTGAGTTAACCGTGCCATAATTTAGTTTAGCGTAGGGGTCGTTCAAGAGAGCGAAGAAATAGAACGAGAACAGGCAACCGTTCGAGGCCAACTGCTTTCCTTTTTTAGCCAACTGGGGACATCATTAAATTATCTTGACTGAAATATGCAAAATAAAAAAACTTGATTGAAAACCACTTGTGGTCTATATTTACATCAAAATCCTTGATAGTGTAGTGGTTCGTATTCCCGCCTGTCACCCGGGAGACCGGGGTTAGATTCAATGTCAATTTAAGATTTTGGGAGACTTAGAAAATTTCGAGTTTAACCAAAAAACCGTCAAATATTTCTCACAAATAAGAGATTGAAACAAATAAAATATAATCAAATTTCTCATGATGCATGACGTTTATTCATTATTTGCATATCGCAGCGAAAGTTGCATTGAGGCAAATCCAACTGGTAATCACGCAGATCAAAAGGTCAAGCGAAAACCAGAAAACACGCACAAACCATCAATCTGAAGACATAGAATAAATTGGGAAAAACAAATCGAACTGTCATGCAAATTAAACATGAGGGAATTATTTTTCCTCGTGTTGATAGTGAACTTCGTGAATATAAAATACAGACGAACGATGATCAAAATAAATCATGACGTCATCCGGCCAAATCCGCAGGATTCTAAAAAGTACCCATAAAACCCCCTAAAAATAACC